AGGTGAAGTAACAGGATGTTGGGATTTGCTCGATTCTCAAGAAAAGTGATTAGTTTTTACTACTTGGGGAGAAAGGGTCTATGAGAAATGAAGCTTTAAGACACAAAGCCAGGGAATATGTTCATCTCCTCTATCAGTGTGAAACTTGGACTCCTATCTTAGTTTTTCTGGAATCCCTGAGTATGCGCAACCAATGAATATGCATGGTAACACATACCCAGTGTACAATAAAAGGCTCAGATTTTCAAATGAGGGGTCCAGAAAATAGAGTCACATTTTTTTGCAAATTCATCAATGTCACCAAACACCATCAGGAGGAAGGAGGTAGGTCACCAGTCATTCTGAGGGTGGGTGCAAAGATCACTATAAAAGTTCAAGGCCACGCCCAAATACGCCTGCTATTGTAAGAATTGGTTGAGAAATTCTTCTTTTTAAATGATCCAAAACATACTGTCCTTCCCATTCTTCATTTGAAAAATCAGGCTAATAGAAAATTCAAACTAAACAAAGTTATTTTTTAAAAGAATAAGCCCTTTACAGAATGTTTAATTTTCAGTATAGTTAGGTGTTTCCCAATAAGAAAAAATAAAGGGCACCTATATACTGGAAATTAAGAAAGTTATTTAATTTTAAAGTTGCATTTCTTACTAGCATTTTATTTTTTAAGTCCCTATTTTCTTAGGAAGTGTCATCAGCAGTCATTATAAAGATGTCCCTAAAAAAAAAAATCTATTAAACAGGTAATTGTACAGCAAGCCAGCTTGGAAATATTATTATGCACTTAATAAAGCCTCCTGTGCTTCCTACCTACTTTTCAATCCATTAATTAGTGATTCTGTACTTTCTTCATAGGTCGTCATTACAGCCAGTAATTGGAGGCTGGATGAATTAAAACATACTCGAATTATATGTCCCAGGCAGTCACCAAGACAGCCTGGAGACTTGATGTCCAAAATTAGTTAATGTCTTCCACTCCGGGTGGAAGACATTATTGTTGTTATTTCTGCCTATGCATCTATATTTTAATTTTCTGATTACTTGAGTCAACAATTTATGGAAATACCACTACACAGGTCTGGCTCCGCCCTTGCAATTGACTGTCTCCTGCCGGTTGGTGGGTGCTCATCCCAGGGACCGGAGCGAGGGTTCGCCCACCGGTTCGCCCTCCCCAGCCTGGGGCTGCATGGACTCCTTGTCCCCAACAGCTGCCTTGTACCTTCTCCACCTGGTCTCCGTGCAGGCCGGGCCTGCAGGTGCTGCTAGCAGACCCTCCTCCCTCTGAATGTTCTCTAGTGCTTACTGGCTTCCAACTCTTTTCCCTCCACTCAAGTGTGAGCCCCTGGAAAGCAGGAGCCGCCTTAATCTTATTCCCAGAGTGGTTACCTTAGAGCCCACGCCTCGCTGATTGGGGCCACCTGGCTCCAGGCCACCTGCGTTACTTGGCCTGCACAGAGTTCACAATAATTGAAATAATGCCTGTAGGGGGCCATGCCCTAGGCAGTTTGTGACAGTCTCTCTGTTCTCCTATGTGGTCTCAGTCACACATTTATGTCACAAGCCTGTCCCCTACAGGCGTCCTCGTTTGTGACCCTAGTTGTATAGCTGCTTTGTAGTTAGTTGTGCGAATCAATGTGTCAATAAATGGACATCGTATTGCGCAGAGAATTGATCATTATCCTCATATTCTGGTCTTGAAAATTCCTTAAGTTTCATCTCACACTTAGGAAAAGGAGGTAGTAAAAGGCAACTCTATTACACAATGTACAAAAAAGCATTTCTGAATAGTGGACAGAGGTAGGCCACTCTGAGCATTTTGGTCAAATTAGAGACAGAAACAAAATCACTTGCCTTCTTTGCAGAAGCCAGAAGGTACAAACCAGCCAGCTGCTGGGAAAAAGCCTAGGTTTGCATTCCTGAGCTGATTGAAAACTTCTGCCCCAGATCATCTTAAAACAGGGACCAGAATTTTAAAAACGATGACCCTGACCAACATTCCTAGTGCATGTTCGACAACCCATTTCTCAAGGCTGACCCTAAAATGCTCCTCACCGTGGCCAAGGACAACATGCCGCTGTGTTATCCAACAAAGGCGGCTCTGCCTGGGCCACAGCAACACCGTACAGTACGCAACAGTCCTTTGCCCTGGTTGAATCTGGGGGGGAGGGTTAAGCTATTCGCTACGTGGCTGGAATTCACATCACCAGACAAAAACGTTGGTGATTAGCAAGTACCTTGAGCAGGGCTAAGCCTCACCTAAACAAGTCAATTTGGATTTGCTTTACCCACCTGGTGAGCGGGGGACTAAATCTTTTAAGATTTAAACTCCATGACTAATAATTTTAACATTTTAAATGCAACTATTACCAGATGTTCATCCTGGTGATGGAATTCTTACTCGTAAAAGCGGTAACATCCATAAAAGTGTAACTCGGAGCAACTTGCTGTGAACATTCCCAGCTAATTAGTTTATGCTGAATATATGTCCAGGCGCTTAAAATAATTTGTTACATAGGATTATAATTCATAAGACAATGAAATGCTGGTATTGGTTTCCAAGGAAAGGTTTTACAATAAGTTTTGTTTCTGAGTAACTAGAAAGTAAGACTCTCTTTCTGGGAGGGCACCTCCTTTGTGCAAGAAACCGAAACCCTACCCACCGCCTGCAGGAAAACCCACAGCTAGTTAAATGGCAGCGTTTGGTTGGGATTGAGTCACTAAATTTGGTCTCTCCACACCTGCTATAAAAAGGGGACATGTTTTCTATCACCTGCTATGACGACTATACGACTGGAAAAAACGCGAGTAAATATAATAATAAAAACTCTTTGCACTAACAATGAAAGGTATGCTGTTCTCGCCGGGCCATCAGCAAAGTACAAATGCTTCCTTATCACACACCAACCGTGTGCGATTTGGACAGTGGACTTAGTTTTGTCTGAACCATTACAATAGCTTCACACCCTGGAAGATGGAGGTCTGTATGTTTGTATCTCAGGTGTTTTTCTACAACGGTATCTATTGGCTCAGAAAAGACATGAAGCACCAGTGAAGGAGAATGTGAGGGATGCTAAGTACCAAAGACTTACGTCACTCTCAGCAGAACTCAGAAACCTTTCTCTTGGCCATTCAGGGGACTTGTCCTCACAGGACTCACCTTGAGTTCTCAGTTGGAACTGGGCTGGACCAACTCCCAGCCAGCGCTGGCGGGAGGGCAGCCGCCGGCCTGCCCTGGTTCCGGAGGAGCAGAGAGCGGTTGGCGCTCTCCCTCCTGTGCATTTACAAACAAGCTCGTCTGTCTTTTAGAGAAGCCTCCTCACACCATGGGCAAAGATCTTAGGTGACTACAGCCATTGCAACGCCTCCCACTTAAATGGCTGTGGCTCCTTCAAACAGGCACAGTGACATTGCTAGCATACCTCCACCGCATTCTGAATGTGTGACAGGCAGCTTCAGCTGTGGTAGCAAAGCAGCACATCGACCCGCCGAAGGCACGTCTGGCACGGACGACCTAAGAGAACAGGTGAAGCTATTAGAGAGCCACACAACCGTGCCGCGTGCGGTCTAAGGCGTAAAAGCAACTGTGTCTGGTAGGCGCACGCTCACCCAGGTGGGGAGAGTGAGAATGCTCCACTTCAATCCCCAGCTTGACAATAGAGGTGTTTTGCAGAGACCAGCTACCTTATTGCTTATGTAAATTCAGAAGGCAAGACAGAGAAGACCACCTATTACAAAGGCAGATGTGGTTTTTTAAGAAGTAGCAGCTAGGACCCCACTTAAAGTGCCTATTAAGACCTGGTCCAACACCTGTTTCAATCAAGAGGTTCAATGTAACAACAGGGTTTTGAACATGTATCAGCCCCACAGGAGTCCAGCTGCTGTTCTAAGTGCTGCTTGCGGTTTTGCAGGGAACGTAAACGAGTTAAAGCAACGGCAGGGTTCCGCCGTCCCTTGGCTAACGCACACTAGAAAGCAGCAGGTAACGTGTGTGAACGACTCGGACACACACACACACACGCACACACACACCCCACACCCCCCCAATGCAGCTGCACAGAGGAATACAGAATGAGGGGGGGGGACGCATGACTGCAGAGTTCCTTTAGGTAGATGTTTCACTTTCTGCAACATTTAATGACTGAAAACTACTGTTAGTCAATTTTGACTTGCGGTTGGGCTGCACAGACCACAGAACAGGAACTTCATTGTGGCAGGAGTGAGAAGAGAAAAAAAGCTTTTCTTGTGGGGTCGCTTACTATTTTAATTCCGCTGTTAGTCACCTTCAAAGGTATGGGGCCGATTCTCCTTATGGCTCTTCCTCTTCTTTCCTTTGTACTGGACTTTCCCCCCCCCGCCCCCTCCCGGTTACCGCTGCTCCGGTTATTTTCCTCACCTTAAACCAGGGACAGGATGACCTGTCTCACTTGTACCTGAAATTAGAACGTGACTACGTTACACGCCCCGCGCGCACGCAGCGCCGCTCCTCTGGGGCGCCGGCTCCGGTGCCTCTTGCCGGGGTCGGGGTGACAGAATGGAGCCTGTTGTCTCCACGGGTCCTCCCGGGACCTCCGGGAGCAAGGTGCACTTACTTGAGCACCGGTATAGACACGCTCTTAAGCAACTTAAAGTCGGCAAGCCCCCCTTGCTGCCCTTCCTGATTGTGAACTAAAACGCGAGGGAACTCAACTCTTTCAGCCACCGCCAGACTTTTGGGGCGCACCTTCCTTTTCCTATGAACCAGCCCCAAAGGAGCCACAATAACCTCTTTCTCTTCGCCCAGCACAGGTCCCAGAACCGAACACCGACGCCGTCTTGCATCACCCGGACGGAGCTCCGGCGGCCGCGCCCGCGCTGGGTCGCGGCCTCTCCAAGGTGACGCACGGCGCCGCCTCCTCCCCTTGAAGGCGGGGCTCGAGCGCGGGGGCTAAGGAAGTGGCGCGGCCCTGACGGTGCCCCCGCCCCCGCCGCCTCGGAGCTGTACCCTGCGCGGGCGAGCGGCGGCGACGTGGGCTGTAGGTCCCGCGCAGGTGAGGGGCGCGCGGCGGTCCCCTTTGCAGCCCCCGGGACGCAGCCTCGGACAGGTAAGTGCTGTGCAGGGCTCACCTGGCACTGCGCGCGGGCGCGCAGCGGGGTCTCTACCTGCTGTGTCCTGTGGAAGGGCCTCTGCTCTCCACCGAAGTGAGGCGTTGCGGACCACGGAGGGAAGTCAGAGGCGCTGCTACCGGAGGGTTGCTTGTTCAGGGGCCAGTGGGCTGGGGACCGGAGGCAGAAACCCGAGGGGTGGGGCGCTGGGAGCGCACGGGGTGGTGTTGGAGGGTGACTTGCCCCTGATTTCTTTGCATTTAATAGGACACGTTGGTTCTCCTCGGGGCGCAGCGGAGTTAGTCACCGTCTCCGCCGGGATTCTCTGCAAAGGTCAGTCCCTCACTTGGGCGGGGGGCGAGGGGAGGGCATCTGATGCGGTCCCTTCGTGGGGCCCCGGAGATTCCACTTCGATCCCCTGCCAGACCTTTGCTCAGCCCCAGGAGAGTAGAAAGCCTTCCAGTTGCGTAGCGTCCAGTGTCTCGTCACACTAAAAAAGACCAAAAGGTGATGGTGGTGAAGTTGAGAAGAAATTGCTTCCGCAGCTAGAGCCCCTGCGCACTGTCCATTTGCTAAGCAAGTCGTGTGCCAATGGCTTGTACCGGGGGTCGCGTTTCTCTGAACCGTGTTAGAACCGCCCAACGACCTTCTGCGCGGCGTCTGAGGGGTTCGGCCGCGTCCAGATGCTTCCGTGAGTGTGTGCTCGGGAAGGGACCTCTGCAGCGGCGCTTCCAGTCCCCAAACAGCTTACCAGGGAAGCTCAGGACCTTAGGAGACCGCCTCGGCACACACGGAGTCGCAAGCAGGGCTGTGGACGGTGATTCCCATTAGCATTCATTTCCACTTGGGTCAGCAGCCTTTCAATTTAACAAATATTTATTGTACTCCTGCTGAGGGGGAGCTCCAGGCGAGGCCGGCCGGTGTGCACAGGTGTGCACAGGTTTGGTCGCGCCGGTGTTGACACAGAGGCGAGTTTTAGGGCACTTCTTCCTCGCTGGTAGATGTTCAGAGGGAGACTAATGGCACTTTATGCTTTTGCTTCGGCGCCGCCTCTTTAATCTCTGGTAATCAGCATGTGGAGGAAGGAGAACATAAATCTGAGAAGAATATCATTAGCCTGGTCTGCCATTGAAAGCGACAGGGATTATCAAAACCACCCTTAAAATTAGGTTGCTAAGAGTCGACTCTGCCAAGTGTTTGCGCTAAGGGCTTTATCTCGTTGCATAAATATGCAAAGTAGATATTCCTCCCCTTGTGCAGGTGGGAAACTGAGGCAGGGAAGGATCTGACACCTTGTTCAAGGCGACTGGTGGGCCTGGGAATTGGATGGGGACAATTCTGACTCTAGAACCCACGCTTCTCCACTGTTCCATGCTGCCCTGAGACAGGGTAAATCTGGAAGGTTTTGGGGAAGTAAGAATTTAAATGGACATTCATAAACCACCCATATCCCGGAAGTTAAAGCAACTCCCATGAATATAGTGAACACCATTTTCATTCTATTTGTGTGGTTCAGCTATGACCAGTTTGGGACAAGACGATGAACAGCTATTTTTAAAATGTAAATTTTTTCTGTCTTTCTTAACATATTTTTGAGGGCCTACTATATCCGAGGGAGGCAAATTAGTAAAGCTGTATATGAATGCCTTGTGTATCACACAGTGAAGTGTCAGCTAATTTTCATATCATTCACGTGCTTTATGTAATTCAGCTTGATTTATATAATTTATGTAAATTATATAACTTATGTCAGTCAGCTTGATTTTTTTTATCATTCCTCTTGATCTCAGAGCTTCCAGGTGAAAAGAGGACAGTGTTGTCACGGAGAAAGGACTTTGTGTATAAATCTATAATCATGTATGAATAAATATAGCTAATACTTATTTTAAAAGAGGTATCTATTTTCCCTTAAATCTATCTCTGGAAATGTAGAGTACGACGGCTTATTTGGAAAGAAATCCTAAAATTCCTAATTTAGTCTTTGAGTAAAGGGACCGTGACAACTCAGCTGACAATTTCTTTAAGGGCCTCCAAACCACAAAAGTGACTTTCAGATTAAGATCATTATACTGCATGGGATGAGCATGAACAGGGTGCTTAGAATTTTAATTCCTATTGCCTGACATGGAGAACACTTGCTTTCTTTAAACTTTTCTTATCGTCATTGGTGACTACACGCAGAAATTGAGGGGTTTTATATTTAAATTTGCCTAAGGAGTTGGCAAAAGTGTGTTGTGTTGAAGAATGTCTTTATAAAGCCTGTGTGGGGAGGACCAGGCCTGGACTGCTTTTGACCACGACGTTGGTAACCCATCTTGAACTCCTCCTCAGAAGCATTTGAAATCCTGCCTAGAAGGTGTGTGTAAAGGTGCGGTTGGGCTTAAGATGCTGTAATTGGACGGCAGGGTGGGTGGTGAATGGAAGAAAACCCTGGAAGAGCCAAAGGACCAAGGACCAGCGTAGGGGGAGTGTGGAACAGCGGCCAGTCCAGGCTTTGTAAGACCGAAAAGGCAAACCCCTGAAACTAGTCATACACAATAACACTGCATGTAAAATGCAATAGAAGCCGTTTTTTTTTTTTTTAAAAAAAGGTAAACACACGTGGAATCCTCTTGAAGATCAATAATACAAAATTAGTGATAAAAGCGGATACGAAGTGAGAACGAGAGATAGAAATGCCAACCATTTGCTGGAGACTTCTGTCTTGGCGGAGGTCTTTCTGGGCAATTTACAAGAAGTGCTTACAAAGCACTGCTTCCTGATTGCAGCCTGGCTTCCCTGTCCCCGAGAACACTCAGCATCTTCCAGCAGCTTGTCGCAGCGGCAGGACCTATGCCAGCGAGAGGCCAGATGCTGAGCTCCATCACCTTTAAAGACTGAAAGGCCCGGTTGTTGGTTGGAGGCAAAAGACTCACGGTCCAAGTCTCAGCTTTCATTCTATCCGTCGCCATTTATTCAGGGTTCTGTCTTGGGCTCTGACACTCGGACGTCTGAGTTCTAAGAAGCCTTCCAGATGCTTCTGGAGCTCAAGATTGAGAACTGCTCTTCTCAGTAAGGAGAAGAGGTGCATACAAGGGCCAATATATCATAGTCGTATTATAATTGTAATTCATATTACTATCACTGACATTTACTGGGCTAGACATTGCGCTGAGAATTATTAACTCTCTTTTTAATTTTATTTTTGTATTTTATTTTATTTGAATATTTAACTGTTCTATTACAGTTGTCCCAATGTTTCCCTGCTGCTCTCTGCTGTCTTGCACCCCCCCCCCACAGTCAGTCCCCACCCTGTTGTCCGTGTCCGTGGGCCATCCATACATGTTCCTTGACTGGCCCCTTCCCCTTTTTTCCACCCTTATCTCCTTCTCGCCCCCCTCCCCTCTGGTCACTCTCAGTCTGTTCCTTGTCTCCATGCCTGTGGGTCTACTTTGCTCATTTGTTTGATTTGTTTATTAGGTTCCTCTTAGAGGTGAGATCATATGGTATTTGTCTTTCGCTGCCTGGCTTACTTCACTTAGCACGACATTCTCCAGGCCCATCTTGCTGTTGCAAAAGGTAGGAGTTCCTTCTGTCTTTCTGCTACGCAGTATTGTGTGAATGTACCCCCAGTTTTCTGATCCACTCATTTACTGATGGACGCTTAGGCTGTTTCCAGCCCTTGGCTATTGTAAATAACGCTGCTGCGAACATTGGGGTGCATTGGTCCTTTTGAATTGGTGTTTCAGGATTCAAATCTTTAACACAATCCTACCAGGCAGGACTATTATCACCTCCATTTCAATGTGAGATAACTGAGGCACAGAGGCAGAACTGGACACATCCTAGGATTTAAGTGCAGACACCCCTCCCCCCGCCAGGAGTCATCAACATGCCATTGTCACATTGCTATTGTGGGAAAGGCCCGGGAGGCTGGCCCGAGGCTGCTTTGGAATGGCCTCATGGGTCAAGCATAGGTATTTGCTCACCACCTGGGGTTAATGAGTTTTTCTTTAAGGACAGATGGCCAGAATGGAGGGGAAGAATGTTCTTGTGTTCATTCCTACTGCGAATTTTTAGAGTTTCACAAGCAAATGTACAGGATTGCATCCACCTGGTTGCATAACGTGGCCTTGCCTCCCTTCCTGTGTGACTGTGGTCTTGCCCGGATTTCCCCAGTGGGTGGCTGCCGAAGGTGGCCTTGTTTCAGAATGCTGGGCTTTGGCTTCTCTCCGAAAGGCCTGTCCCCTTCCCAGGCCACAGACGACCTGAAGAGGCTGGTGTGTGGGGCCCTTGTGTCTTGAAAGTGTCTAGAAGAGCTGTGCCTTGCATTTTTGGTAGTTCTTTTCTGAAAGAGACTGTTGTCACTCACAATTCTGGACATTTACCACAGAATAGCCACATCACATCAGGCAGCTTAAGAATATACAGCTGTAGACACGAGAATATACGTCAGTGTGGGGAAGGACGGCTTGCCTTTAGGTGTGAAAATCCGGTCACTGTGTCCTGTCTTCTCCTTCAGTGACAAATGTTTAGATCAACATGGATGTGAGTTTATGGCTGGAGGCAGAATTTAATTCTGAGGGTGCCATCCACACAGCTGTTTGTTCATGGGGGCATTTGTTGCTCGCTTAGCTGTGCTAAGTGTCAGCGTGAGGCACCTGAAGGAGGTACAGTGGCGATCAGACAGATGTGCTCCCCGCAGACAGGGAGAATCTTGTTCGGCAGTGTTCTGGGTGACTGGCGCTAGACGCCCTAGCTCCGGCCGTGCGTCGGCGGGAGGGGAGCTAAGGAGTTGTCACAGTTCAGGAGTCAGGTTGAGGGGCTTGGCTGAGGGCAGGGGGGAAGCAGAGGTGGGGAAGGATTTGAGAGCCGGCTGGCAGATGGCAGGCGTGGCCAGGTGGATGTGGGAAGGAAAGAAGGAGTGAGGTTTGTGCCTGGGGCCCTGGGTTGGGGCCAGGAACGCAAGTCAGAACCAGAGGAGACTGTTTTTAGAGGATAATCCTGAGGTTTGTGGACATTGTGAGTTTGGGATGCCTGGGTGACCCCATAGTAGAGGATTTGGGTGGACAGTTGACTAGACTAAGGGTCTGCAGTCCAGGAAAGAGGTCCGCAATACAGAGTTTTGAGAGAACTGGTCTCTAGGTGGTTGTTGAATAATCGCCTATCAACTCATTGAGTAATACAGCTGATTTGACAACTGAATAATGCAATGGATTGAATAATAACAACTGACTAATGCTGCCTCTCAGGACAGTTGGCAGGCAAGAAGCAGGTCACAAAGGAAATGGGGACATTTCTGCTGGCCAGGCAGCCGAGGAATGAGTTTAATGGGATGTGAAAGGTGGAAAGGT